GTTGACCTTTCTTACACACGCCATCCCCATCCCTCCCAGGCTCCACCTCCACAAGCAGCCCTCGACCTTCATGCGCGCGAGGCGTGTGTCCATGATCCATCTTCCCACCATTGGGCGGGTCCCGCTCTACACTCCGGCCACCGCCAGATCGGTTGCTTTCGCAGCCTTCTGCGCCGAGCTTCGCAGAGAGGCGACGGGTTGGCCTTCCCCAACCTCGCCGATCTAATCGGCCTCGATTGATTGCCGTTCATTTGGGATTGCAAGGTAGCTGCTTGGGATTGCAAGGTAGCTGCTGTGCTTCAGCGATTTAAAATTTTGGAGCTTCTTTGAGGATTATTACATATAGCATTTCACACAAGCTGTCTTGGGGCTAAAAGCATCATGTAGTGGCCACTTGTTGATATTAATTTGACCAGTTATGCATTTTCTGCCCAACTACTACTGTCCTGGCTTCCGTGGTCAGTGAATGCATTATTGTTGTGCATTGGTGTGGCGGTTTGGTGGATCTCGAGTATTGTTGCTTCTCTTGTTATGCTTACACAAGCTTTAATTATATACCCGTTTTTCTCTTCTTTATCATGCTGAGGCTTGGACTTCAATTTCGCTAAACCCACCAAATTTCAACAGATGGCGAGTGCCTTGACCTAAGTTGCACGGATACGGATACGCGTATCGGTATCGAAAGGATACGGATACGCGGATACGGCAATTTTCTAAGAAACCCGATACGCGGATACGTTTTACTGTTTTTTAATAAATATAGATAACAGCGCATATTAAAATTGTGAAAGAGTGAAAGTAGTAAATTACCTTGCAATAGCAATTACCAGCCAAAGCAAAGACCGGAACTCCGGAAGCATCTACATTCTTCAATTGTCCATTCTCGAGTTCTCCAAGACTCCAAGTCCAGAATTTGCACAAAAAAACCAAGTAACCAACTATCAATCAATTTATTACTAAAACTTGACTACTTAAGTATTCAGTAATCACTAATCAGTAGTAGTTCAGTACATCACCTTGCAGTTCATGCAGCAGCAGCCAGCAAGTTCCTATTGTCTGAACTCTGAACTCTGAAATTGATGCAGCAGCCAGCAAGTTCATGCAGCAGCAGCCAGCAAGTTCATGCAGATGCAGCAGCCAGCAAGTTCATGCAGCAGCAGCCAGCAAGTTCTAAAATTGATAAGTGATAACTGATAACAATAAAACATTGCAATTAATCACTTAAGAGTTAAGACTCTAAGAGTACTATTATTACAGCACAGAAGGTCTGTAGTCTCATCAACTCTCAAATATAGTAGTCTCAAATTTAGAAAATTAATAGAAGGCATTCAGGCTTGCAATTCATGCAGCAGCAAGTTCCTATTCCTCAATTGTTTCATTGTCATCCACAATATCAACCGCAGCTCATCCAGGACCAAAAGACACAGCTTGCAGTTCAGGTTCATCAAGGGACAGATCAGCCACTTCAAGAATGCCAACACCACCAAGTGAATCAAAAGAATCCCTCCTACATCCCACATCCTTGTCTCTCCTGTCTTGTATGCATCAGTTCTTCTTGACAGATGCCTCGATTTGAGTGCACAAAGACCAAATCTTCAGCACGCTCTAGAGTTAAGGCATTTCTCTTGACACTATGGACAAAGCTATAGGTGCTCCAGTTTCTTTCACAGCAAGAAGATGAGGCTGGCTGGCTAAGCAATTTCATGGCCAAACACATCAATAAGGGAGCAGATTGTCCATGATTTGTCCACCAAGTCATAGGGGAAACAGCCCATCTATCATGGATTGAGTCGGGATCATTAAAATCTTCCGAACAACTAGAGAACCTTGAGTACTCTTCTTTTTACTTTAGCCAATTCTTCCGGCATGGGAAAGAACTTCTTGAAGCAAACCATCCTCATTTTTGATACCTCTTTATCCTTGTGGGGTGGTTCACGGCCAGGACCTTCTTCAATCCACTTTTTGCTATAATATCTACAATTGGCAATGATGATTTTAGTACCTTGAATGAAAAAAATCTGTACTGACCATTCAAGTCAATGAAAAAAATCAGAATGGCAATTTGTACCTTGGATTAAGTGAATGAGCTAAACAATGAAGTGGATTATTTCCTTTTGTCCACCTAGCAATCAATATGTCATAAATAACCGAGTACAGACTTGACTCCTCATCTTCTTGCTTGCCCTCATATCGATATATGACTTTCTTCACTTTCTCTATCATTGAATCCCACATCTCATAAACTAAGTGAAGACATGGTGTGTCGGTGTCTGTCATACGAATCATTTCATAAATAGGAGTAGTAATCTTAAGAATGTAGTCCACCTTGTCCCACCATACATCACTAAGTATCAAGTCCTTGACAATTTGGGCTGTTGGAGTTGGAGAATCATCTCTGACTTCTCTGTACACACTCCATTTGTCACTAATCACCATTTGTTGGAGGGCTGTTTTTACCTCAACAAACCGCTTCAACATACATACAATGAGAGGCAAATCTTGTTTCAACAATAGAAAGTAACTTCAAAGGGCTGAACTCATTGAACATTGAAAGCCGCATGCCATGATTCATTATGAAATTCTTTATCATAGCAGCCTCGGTTTTAACATCATACATAAATTCAAGTTCCCCAAGCAAATAATTCTTCATCGGAGGGTTGTTTCCTATTTTAGGTTCACATATACTTTTCAGTACATAAAGATTGAGGGTATGCACAACACATGGTGTCCAAAATATGTTATCATACTCAGATTCTATTATGAGACCAGCACCTTTGCAATTTGCAGCATTATCTCGTAATGATTTGTACTACATTATGTCGACCTACTTCTTCAATTATACCCTTCAACTTCTCAAAGAATGTATTCTTTTGATTTGTACTTGACCTTCACAATTATCAGCCCTCAAGAACATAGGTGCCTTGTCGAAAACAACAACAAAATTGATGATTGGTCGCCTCGAGGATCGACCAACCATCGAGGCAGATTGTGACTCCTTCTCTGCCCATGTGCTCTTTGTGCTCTCCAACAAAGTCTCTATGTGCCTCCTTTCTTGCTTCGAAGCCCCTCCCTAACTCTCTGTTGTAACCAGAATCACATAGCCTTGCATGTTAACTGTTTGCAAGCAAAGGTAAAGGCTTCTCGAAGATATGGATTTCTCGAAAAATTAAAAGATACCCCTCCGAATAAATTGCTCTACTAATTAAAGCATCCAAGTGCTTACGGTCTTCCAATGCCCAAGCTTTTTCCAATGCAGAAACAGGCCCCCTCTTGTTCCTCTTGTTTGTTGTCAAAGATGATTGCTTGAGGAAGGAGCAATAGGCAAAGAAACAGTTCTTGACTTGGATCTTTCCACCAGATTCTTGCACCTTTCAATTTCCTTCCTCATTTCACTAAGCATTTCATATGTAACATTAGGACATTTACCTATTCCCTTTCCTCCTTCTGCAGCAAATGAGCTTCAACTCTAGTGTAACTACTCGTTTTGCATTGGACCAGTACTTGCTGGCGCCACATAGCATTTCCTCCACCAGTTCTAGGCTTCTCCAGAATGGTTACATGATCCCAAAGTGGAGCCTTGATGTCAGTTGTGTTTGTGGCTGCAGATCCTACACTAGCACTGCTCATATTTGGAGACGCCATCTACTCTCTACTCTCTAGTCTATACTGCATACAAGCAAAGCAACACGAACTACACTTCATCAATAAGAGTATAAGACTAACTTCATGACTTCATCAATACGAACTACATACACTAGCAATTTCACTAACAGAGTAACAACCTAACAGGAGTACAGACTACAGACTAATACTGCATCTGCACACAAGCAAATCAACAAGACCTTGAGCCTAACACGGCGGTGGGTCGTTGGACCGCGGGAGACCCGGGCCGCGGTGGGGGAGGATTGAGGAGAGTGAACTGACCTTGAGCCGGCGTAGCGACGACGCAGCAGAGCCGCTCGGATCTCCGTCCCTCTGCTCCGCAGCAGAGCCGGAGGCGCGCGCGGATCACCGTCCGTCCGCTCCGCAGCAGAGCCGGAAGCGCGCGCGGATCTCCGTCCGTCCGTCGCTCCGCAGCAGAGCCGGAGGCGCGCGCGGATCTCTGTCCGTCTGTCCGTCCGCTCGGCGGCCGTGGATGGGGACGAGAGGGAGGAGGATGAGGAGGATTTGGCTGGCGGCCGACGAGTAGGGACGCCGGCGAGCGGAGGCGGAGGCGGACGCTCGTCGCCGGTGGCTGGCGGCCGGCGAGCGGGGTTGCGGCGCGACGCGCGGGCGCAGCCGTGAGGTCTCCGTGCGGGACTGCGGGAATGGGACTGAGTACGACTGCGGGCGTGCGGGATTGAGGCTGCCTCCGTGGGCTTCTAATGGGCTGGGCCGTATCCGGACGAAGGATACGTGTCCGTTGGCGTATCCGATTTTAACAAAAATAACACAAAATCGGATACTCGGAGGATACGTATCCTAGGCGTATCGGATACGTATCCGTGTCCGATACGTATCGGATACGCGATACGCGTCTTCAGTGAAGTATCCGTGTAACATAGGCCTTGACTGAGGTCACCTCTGTTATTGGCAAGCTTATGACCCTGCTTGGAGAAGAGTACACAATGCTGACGGGCATGAAGAAGGAGGTGAACTTTTTGAAGGATGAGCTGAGCAGCATTAACGGCCTCCTTCAGAGGCTAGCAGGAATCGATAGTGACCTCGATGTGCAGACCAAGGAATGGAGAAGACAAGTGCAGGAGATGTCTTATGACATAGAGGATTGTATCGACGACTTTATGCATCGCATTGGCCTTAATGCCATGGTTAATTCTTCAGGTCTTGTCCACAGGTTTGTTCGGCAGCTTAAGGTGCTGAGAGCGCGCCATCAAATTGCCAGCCAAATCAAAGAGCTCAAGGCACGTGTTGAAGATGCTAACAAGCGCCGCATGAGGTACAGATTTGATGAGCGTGCCTTTCAGTCTACCCCGACTACTGCCATTGACCTGCGCTTGCCATCACTGTATGCTGAACAAGACGGGCTTGTTGGTATTGACAAGCCGAGAGATGATCTTGTCAGTCTGCTAATGGAGGGGGAGGGATCATCAGTGCAGCACCTGAAAGTGATATATGTTGTTGGTCCTGGGGGTCTTGGTAAAACCACTCTTGCATGTCAGGTTTACCGTAGATTAGAAGGGCACTTCCAGTGTCAAGCTTTTGTTTCGTTGTCACAACAGCCTGATTTAAAGAAGATCTTAAGAAATATACTCTGTCAAGTCAGCCAGCAAGAGTATCTTAACATGGAAATATGGGATGAGGAGAAGTTTATCAATGCAATCCGATATTTTCTACAGAGCAAAAGGTAAGTTAACTAATTCAGAATGGCAACTTGGTTAGTTGCTTATTTTCTACAACGCTCTCTTTTGGTCAATCTGTGTTGTGCTGTGTCTACTATAAAAGTATTGCTTTTTTATTTTCTAGACTAAGTTTGTGCCCGTGCATTGCTACGAGCAAACAAAAATTAAAGATGTGTTAAAAATTTAAAATAGGGGGGTCCCAACAGGATCCTCACTCATATGGGGACCAGATATGAGTGAGGCGATTACACAGACTCATGGTTCAAACACATAGTGAACAAACACGACTCGACCTTAGCTAAAAGGACCTAGTCTGCAAGCGCCAGTCCTAGCCCTTGTAGCTTCTTCGCCCCAGCCAATATTGTGTGTCAAGTAGTAATCTTACTATCAACGTTACAACGTTACTTCTTATTGTCTTCCTCTAGCTCTTCGTCTCCATTCCATTCACTGTCTCGTGCCTTCGCTCCCATCCGTCTGACGCAGTTACCACTCCCCTATGCTAGATTCTTCGTTTTTTAGCTCCCCAGCCCACCAGCCATTTAACAGCATCGGCGGTCACTGGATCTGCCCTAACCTGCTGGTCAGCGTTCTCCCTAAAAGCTGGCACTTATAACTTATATATAAACCCTCATGCCTCAAATACCTTGCTGGAGGAAAAACAAAGTCAGTCAGAAAGGGCTCCACTTGTTTTAGTGGAAAGAGAATCCACAACAACAACAACAACAAAGCCTTTTAGTCCCAAGCAAGTTGGGGTTGGCTAGAGTTGAAACCCAACATGAGCCCTTAGTCACGGTTCAGGCATGTCAAGAGAATCCAATTGCAAATTATGGATGCTGAGTGGAGCTCAAATAGCATAAAAATATTTGTAGAAAAATATGTTACTCTTCTTCTGATTATCCAATTTTTATAATAATTCAAATTCTTAAGGTTTATGCTGTTATACTCCCTGATAACTAGATAAATAGGTATAGTAGTCATATAACATCTTCAGCAGTTGTGAATCCCGGTGACAATTTATCCTAGATTCACTCCTGAACCACGCGTCCACGCCAGGCTTCCTTGACTGGTTATGTAGAACAGAAACTGAAATGTAGAACAAGTTGAGAACATAATCTGACAATAAGCAACACTGATTTATAAATGGGAAAGGTAGAACACAGCCGCAGGCTGTCTCCATGTCTCTGTGCTGCACCACAACCATCAAGAGGAGCATCGACAGGCCATGAAAAATTCCACTGGGCGTTGATGGATCCTCCATGGGCGTTGTAGTCTAGGAGAGCTTGGTCTGCAGATGAGATTTGACCAGGTTGCTGAGCCACTGCCAGACCATGTGGGAGGGGATCACATCTCAGTGAGTCACAAGGCAACAGAGCCATGGAGGTCGTGCCAGAGCTAGGCCTGCGCCAGCTCCTGAGCACCTCGGTCCTCTCGCTGCGCTATGCCACATCACCTCCTCGCTCAGCAGAGACGGAAGCAGTTGGTGGTGCAGCGGCGGCAAGGGTGAACCAGTGGGGGAGATGGGAGATCTCGCACAGGTCGCTGTGGTGGCACACGACATCGAGGAGCACACGGAGAGCCCTGCACAGGGCTGGCGAGGACGGGGAACCTAAGGGTTGGAGCTTGTTGAGGAGCTTCCCCGCAACGGTGGTTGGTGAGGCAGAGGGCAAGGAGTAGGCAGGGTCAGGGAGGCTGGATCTGGTGTGCAAGCGAGGCGTGGGATGGAACGGGTGGACCCCACATGTCGGTGCACGTCAGATCGCAGACGGGGGTGGAGGAGGCGAGCGAGGTGGAGGGAGCTGGTGTTGCAGCGTCAGAGAAATCGGTATGTGGGTTTTGATTTCACGGCTTCACCACGGTGGCGGGTAGACGGGTACATTTGAGTTTTTTAGTAGTGGATGTGTGTGTGTGTATATATATATATATATATATATATATATATATATAGAGAGAGAGAGAGAGAGAGAGAGAGATAGAGAGATGTATGCAGATAACTGATAAGTCAGTATTTCCACTGACGGAGCTGCCCTAGGGGCAAGGTGGGGCAGCCGCCCCAGCTACCGGAGGCGTAGCCTCGGACCCCCGGACCCCCTATTCTTC